GTGACAGCTGACTAACACCCAGGTACCTATTTTACTGCTAGGTAACAGGGACATAGGGTGAAAGAAACTCTGCCCATTGTTTCTAGCCGGCGCCTGGGATCGAACCCAGGACCACAGGATCACAAGTCCAGCGTGCTGTCCGCTCGGCCGACCGGCTCCATCGACTGGGCAAGAGAAAATAACGTGATGTTTAACAGTGACAATTTCCAGGTACTCAGGTACGGTAAAAGATAAGATAAGATAATATAATATAATAAGATAATAAGATAAGATAATATAATACATAATACATAATTACAACATAATACAGGGTACACAATACAACCAAGTCTGCCCACAGGAGCAACAGGTAAAGGAGTTGGGAACAATACGATAGTCTGACGATAGTACGATAGTCTGACGATAGTACGATAGTCTGACGATAGTACGATAGTCTGACGATAGTACGATAGTCTGACGATAGTACGATAGTCTGACGATAGTACGATAGTCTGACGATAGTACGATAGTCTAACGTTTAGGTACGTTGTTGTTGTTAAAAGATTCGCTACCTGGAACAAAAATGTTCCAAGTAGCACGGGCTATGGCGAGCCCGTAGTGGATGATAACATAACCAAGCAAATATTCCGTCAGCCAATGATAGCATGGAGTACCAGAGTCTTCAAATCCATGGATCCCATCACAAGGATTGTACTCTTCAAATCACTTGTACTGTCCATTCCCCCCCCCTCCCCCGGCCCATCCCAAATCCTTATTCTGCCCCCTTTCCAAGTTGCTATATAGTCGTAATGGCTTGGTGCTTTCCCCCTGATATCTTCCCTCCCAATTCAGAGCAGGAGAGATTGCTGAAATAGAGGGAATACAGAGAACATATACGGCACGCATAGACACGATAAAGCACTTAAAACTACTGGGATAGTCTCAAAGCTCTCTACAAATGAGACGAGAAAGGTATCAAATAATATATATATATATATATATATATATATATATATATATATATATATATATATATATATATATATATATATATATATATATTGAAGACGTCCACTGAACCTCATTCAGGTACAATTTTGTAAAGGTTCTTAGCCATAGACGAGGCTGTGCCCATGTGGTCACCCATCCAATTATTGGCATATCCGAGCGCGTTTAACTTGACTGAACGAATGCAGAGCCGATACGAGAGTCGTCCCACGTGGGACGGGATACGGGACATGTCCCAGACCAGACATACAGAAACAGGGAAACATTAACGGGGATTGGACTTAACAGTAGAGAGGAGAAAATTGAGTGTTAAACAGAGGTTCACTGGCCTTAAGGAGGAGGTCACTGGCCTTAAGAACGGGGTCACTGGCCTTAAGAACGGGGTCACTGGCCTTAAGAACGGGGTCACTGGCCTTAAGGAGGAGGTCACTGGCCTTAAGAACGGGGTCACTGGCCTTAAGGAGGAGGTCACTGGCCTTAAGGAGGAGGTCACTGGCCGTAAGACTTTGTCTTAAGGTCGTATCGTTTCGACCCCTCATACCATCCCCCACCCCCCTTCACAGGTGGGGGGGAGATAGGGGGATAGGAAGCACACGATAGCGGATCATGAACGTGAGACATGATCACTACCTACAAAATCCTCAGGGGGTAATTAACGGGGTAAACAAGGATAAACTATTCAACACGGGTGGTACACGAACAAGGGGACACAGGTGGAAACTGAGTACCCAAATGAGCCACAGGGACTTTAGAAAGATCTTTTTCAGCGTCAGAGTAGTTAACAGATCGAATGCATTAGGAAGTGATGTGGTGGAGGCTGACTCCATACACAGTTTCAAATGTAGATATGACAGAGCCCAATAGGCTCAGGAATCTGTACACCAGTTGATTGACGGTTGAGAGGCGGGACCAAAGAGCCAGAGCTCAACCCCCGCAAGCACAACTAGGTGAATACACACACACACAAACACACACACACACTAATACATACATATGTATGCATCGATCAATGAACACAGCCTTTCCAGGTCTGCTTATGGTACCCCCCCCAGCCCCCCCTCCCCATAGCACATCTCCACTGGTCACTCTTCCCCCTCCCCTTCCCCTCTCCCCCCTCCCCCCTCCCCTTACCCTGTCCCCCTCCCCCCTCCCCCCTAGCACCTCTCCCATCTAGCATGCTTGTCCGTATCTCTCTGACCATTTTCATGTGCAACTTCGACCTTGTTCGTGTGTCCGTGTGTGTCCTTGTCCATCTGCACGTGAACGTGTCCGTCTGTACGTGAGCGTGTCCATGTGTCCGTTTGTACGTGATCACACAGACACATGTCCGTGGCGGAGGCCAACAGGTTAGGAAGTCGTAAAATGCAGTCCCGTTACTGAATACACACTCCATTTCCACCCTGGCGTCCGTGCGTGTCCGTGCGTGTCCGTGCGTGTCCGTGCGTGTCCGTGCGGGTCCGTGGGTGTCCGTGGGTGTCCGTGGCGGTGATGGCGAGCGGGTTGGAGTTAAAATATGCACAGTGTAGCCTAGCCGACGAGAGGGGGGGGGAGGGGGAGAGGGGGTGGTGGGGAAGGATGCAGGGAGAGGGAGGGAGAGGGAGGGAGAGGGAGGGTTGAGGGAGAGGGAAGGGAGGGAGAGAGAGAGAGAGAGAGAGAGGGGGGGAGGGGGAGGGTGGTGGTAGAAAAACTCTACACCCATGCCAGGCCAGCCCTAGCCCTACCCCCCCCCCTCCCCAACCCCCACCCTTACCCATTTACTTCCTTCCCTGTGACCTTTCCTCTCTCTCTCTCTCTCTCTCTCTCTCTCTCTCTCTCTCTCTCTCTCTCTCTCTCTCTCTCTCTCTCTCTCTCTCTTCTCTCTCTCTCTCTCTCAACAAACACACACACACGCACGCGCGAGGGGCCTCGCGACTGAGTGGACAGCGCTCTGGGGGGTCGAAGTCCTAAGGGGGGTCCGTGTTCGATCCCCGGTGCTGGAGGAAACAGACAGGCCGAGTTTCTTTCACTCTGATGCCCCTGTTCACCTAGCAGTTGACCTGTTTACTGCTAGGTAACAGGGGGCATAGGGTGAAAGAAACTCTGCCTATTGTTTCTCGCCGGAGCCCGGGATCGAACCGACCACAGGATCACGTGTCCAGCGTGCTGTCCGCTCGGCCACCGACCCCTGAGTGTGTGTACTCACCTAGTTGTGTTTGCCGGGGTTGAGCTCTGGCTCTTTGGTCCCGCCTCTCAACCGTCAATCAACCGTGAATGTGTGTGTGTGTGTGTGTGTGTGTTTTAGAGAGATATATATATATGTAGTAGACATAATAGAGGAAAAATAAATTGGTCAGAAAGGCGGGGTCCAAGAGCTAATAGCTCGATTCTGCAGAAACAAATATTAAATACACGTTTTAATTCCTCCCCCCCCCCCCTCACACACACACACATACACATTCCCTACACGAAGTATTTTGACTTTATTTGTTTCTTTGTGTCTGTTTGTTATTTTCATTGTTTCAAAGCATGATCTTTCCTCCCGTTTCTGTTTCATCTGTTTGTCTCTCTCTCTCTCTCTCTCTCTCTCTCTCTCTCTCTCTCTCTCTCTCTCTCTCTCTCTCTCTCTCTCTCTCTCTCTCTCTCTCTCCCTCTCTCTCTCTCTCTCCTTCGCTTCTTATATTTGCTGTCTTGGTATGACAAAATAATAAATTAATAATTTACTGTTTTAATCTTTATTTATTGTTTTATTTGTTTTTTGTGAATAATTAATGAACTTAGAAATAAATATAATTATAAAGAGAGAGAGAGAGAGAGAGAGAGAGAGAGAGAGAGAGAGAGAGATGGGGGAGAGGGGAGAGAGAGGGGGGTGACAGGTATTTATCAAGATAATTCTAATAACCCATAATCAAAATCCACGACATCAAGCCCTATAACGAGATATCCCTTCCTCCCTGATAGCCAGCTGTGTGTGTGTTTCTTTGTTCCTCTTCTGATATAGGCATATAGCGTGACATCTGTCAGTATTTCCTTGTTCTTGAGAATTCCCTTTCAGAGATGAATGGTGACGTCACGCACCTTAAGATACACAGGTTCCGTCGCCCTTGTGTGCTGGGAAGGAGCCTATGAGAGCCCAGGGGGAAGGGGGAAAAGAGTAGTGAATCACCCGACGTGAAAGGTGGGGTCCAGGAGCTAGCATTCGTACCTGGAAGCACTTCTAGGTGAGCACACGTGAGACAACTTTCCTTCCAGGATATGAGGGTCAACACGGCCCCCCCCCTCTCTCTTTATTGTCATGTTTAGCTTTCTCTACTCTCTCTCTCTACTCTCTCTCTCTCTCTCTCTCTCTCTCTCTCTCTCTCTCTCTCTCTCTCTCTCTCTCTCTCTCTCTCTCTCTCTCTCTCTCTCTTCATCTACCAAACATTCCTGTGCTTGTGTAACAGCTTCATTATTGCCCAAAATGTCCCCCCCCCCTATTGCTCCGTGCCTCCCCCCCCCTCTTCACCCCCACGGTCCCCCCCAAACCCCCCCCCCACACACACCATTTCACTCCTCCTGCCCACCCCCCAAGACCAACAACACAATTCCATGACCAGGTCGGAACAGGTGAAAAACCTTGCACCTGTCAATCCCATGTAATTAAATTCAGATCTGTTAAGGGGAGGGCAAAGGGGAAAGGTAAGGGGGGAGGGCAAAGGGGAAAGGTAAGGGGGGAGGGCAAAGGGGAAAGGTAAGGGGGGAGGGCACAGGGGAAAGGTAAGGGGGGAGGGCAAAGGGGAAAGGTAAGGGGGGAGGGCAAAGGGGAAAGGTAAGGGGGGAGGGCAAAGGGGAAAGGTAAGGAGGGAGGGCAAAGGGGAAAGGTAAGGGGGGAGGGCAAAGGGGAAAGGTAAGGGGGGAGGGCAAAGGGGAAAGGTAAGGGGGGAGGGCAAAGGGAGGGAAAGGTAAGGGAAAGCAACGATTTACCTCTGAAGAAACCCATTAAAGAATTATATTCTTCTGGTGACAATAACAAACAAATACACTCAACAAACACAACTATGATTAAATCCACCAAACAAGCACAAGACCCACCAAACAAGCACAAGACCCCACCAAACAAGCACAAGACCCCACCAAACAAGCACAAGACCCCACCAAACAAGCACAAGACCCCATCAAACAAGCACAAGACCCCACCAAACAAGCACAAGACCCCACCAAACAAGCACAAGACCCCATCAAACAAGCACAAGACCCCACCAAACAAGCACAAGACCCCACCAAACAAGCACAAGACCCCATCAAACAAGCACAAGACCCCACCAAACAAGCACAAGACCCCACCAAACAAGCACAAGACCCCATCAAACAAGCACAAGACCCCATCAAACAAGCACAAGACCCACCAAACAAGCACAAGACCCCACCAAACAAGCACAAGACCCATCAAACAAGCACAAGACCCACCAAACAAGCACAAGACCCCACCAAACAAGCACAAGACCCCACCAAACAAGCACAAGACCCACCAAACAAGCACAAGACCCCACCAAACAAGCACAAGACCCATCAAACAAGCACAAGACCCACCAAACAAGCACAAGACCCCACCAAACAAGCACAAGACCCCATCAAACAAGCACAAGACCCCATCAAACAAGCACAAGACCCACCAAACAAGCACAAGACCCCACCAAACAAGCACAAGACCCATCAAACAAGCACAAGACCCACCAAACAAGCACAAGACCCCACCAAACAAGCACAAGACCCATCAAACAAGCACAAGACCCACCAAACAAGCACAAGACCCCATCAAACAAGCACAAGACCCCATCAAACAAGCACAAGACCCCATCAAACAAGCACAAGACCCCATCAAACAAGCACAAGACCCCATCAAACAAGCACAAGACCCCACCAAACAAGCACAAGACCCCACCAAACAAGCACAAGACCCATCAAACAAGCACAAGACCCCATCAAACAAGCACAAGACCCCACCAAACAAGCACAAGACCCCATCAAACAAGCACAAGACCCCACCAAACAACCCACAAGACCCACCAAACAACCCACAAGACCCCACCAAACAACCCACAAGACCCCACCAAACAACCCACAAGACCCCACCAAACAACCCACAAGACACCACCAAACAACCCACAAGACCCCACCAAACAACCCACAAGACCCCACCAAACAACCCACAAGACCCCACCAAACAAGCACAAGACCCCACCAAACAAGCACAAGACCCCACCAAACAAGCACAAGACCCCACCAAACAAGCACAAGACCCCACCAAACAAGCACAAGACCCCACCAAACAAGCACAAGACCCCACCAAACAAGCACAAGACCCCACCAAACAAGCACAAGACCCATCAAACAAGCACAAGACCCCACCAAACAAGCACAAGACCCCACCAAACAAGCACAAGACCCCACCAAACAAGCACAAGACCCCACCAAACAAGCACAAGACCCCACCAAACAAGCACAAGACCCCACCAAACAAGCACAACCCAGGTGGACTTGGGACTGTGTTAATGGGGGGGGGGGAAGCCAATTTAGCAATTTCAATTTTATGGTTTTTTTTTGTTACCAAGTTGTGGTTAATGATTTGACAAAACAATTAGGCTCGTCCCAGCCCAGTTTGATCAAGAGGAAGCCAATTTAAAATAGGTAATTGGGTTAATGATCACAAGTTAATCTAGAGAGGAAAAACTAATAGCTACAAATCAGGTTGGCTATCACAAACCAATTCGGCTATCACAAACCAATTTGGCTATCACAAACCAATTTGGCTATCACAAACCAATTTGGTTATCACAAACCAATTTGGCTATCACAAACCAATTTGGCTATCACAAACCAATTCGGCTATCACAAACCAATTTGGCTATCACAAACCAATTTGGCTATCACAAACCAATTCGGCTATCACAAACCAATTTGGCTATCACAAACCAATTTGGTGTTAAACCAAATTGAACAAGTTCAAATTCATTTAACACAAGCAAGGAAACAAACCAATTTATTAATTAGTGAACGATAGCCTGGCCAATTACACGTCCAGAAACCTATATTTGTTCATATTTGTTTATATATATATATATATATATATATATATATATATATATATATATATATATATATATATATATATATATATATATATATATATGTCGTACCTAGTAGCCAGAACTCACTTCTATGCCTACTACGCAAGGCCCGATTTGCCTAATAAGCCAAGTTTTCATGAATTAATTGTTTTTCGACTACCTAACCTACCTAACCTAACCTAACCTAACTTTTTCCGCTACCTAACCTAACCTAACCTATAAAGATAGGTTAGGTTAGGTTAGGTAGGGTTGGTTAGGTTCGGTCATATATCTACGTTAATTTAACTCCAATAAAAAAAAATTCACCTCATTCGTAATGAAATGGGTAGCTTTATCATTTCATAAGAAAAAAATTAGAGCAAATATATTAATTCAGGAAAACTTTGCTTATTAGGCAAATTTGGCCTTGCATAGTAGGCATAGAAGTGAGTTCTGGCTACTAGGTACGACATATATATATATATATATATATATATATATAAGAGAGAGAGAGAGAGAGAGAGAGAGAGAGAGAGAGAGAGAGAGAGAGAGAGAGAGAGAGAGAGAGAGAGAGAGAGAGAGAGAGACAGAGGGGGGGGGGGCGCTCGGAAGTTGCCCTACCAATTTCAGGCTTGAAATTGAGCAATGTTATTAGAACCCCCCTCCCCCCCTCTCCCTCCCTCTCTCTCTATCTCTCTCCTGTCCCTATCACTCCTCTCCTTTATCTACCATTTCCTTTCCCTCTCTCTCTCCTTCTTTCTCTCCCTCTATATATATATATATATATATATATATATATATATATATATATATATATATATATGTCGTACCTAGTAGCCAGAACGCACTTCTCAGCCTACTATGCAAGGCCCAATTTGCTTAATAAGCCAAGTTTTCATGAATTAATTGTTTTTCGACTACCTAACCTACCTAACCTAACCTAACCTAACTTTTTCGGCTACCTAACCTAACCTAAACTATAAAGATAGGTTAGGTTAGGTTAGGTTAGGTAGGGTTGGTTAGGTTCGGTCATATATCTACGTTAATTTTAACACCAATAAAAAAAAATTGACCTCATACATAATGAAATGGGTAGCTTTATCATTTCATAAGATAAAAATTAGAGAAAATATATTAATTCAGGAAAACTTGGCTTATTAGGCAAATCGGGCCTTGCATAGTAGGCCGAAAAGTGCATTCTGGCTACTAGGTACGACATATATATATATATATATATATATATATATATATATATATATATATATATATATATATATATATATATATATATATATATATATATATATATATATATATATTGTTCACGTAATTAACCAGTTATCTTTCTCGTATCCCTGTCCCTTCCCTTCCCTCCCTCACCCCCCCCCTCCCATCAGCACGGGATGGAGCCCACTCCCCCCTATCAATAACCCCCCACCCACCCACCCCCCCCCCCGTGCCTCAATCCCAGCAATGGTCATTAGTCTAAGTCCGTTCTCCCTGGTGCACCATTCATTCTCAACAGAGGCAAACGGGAGACAACGGCAGATAACGGCACTGAACGCCATAGAGCGCTAAGAGAACGGTATGAAAAAAACAGGATAGAACGCCAGATAACAGGAACAGATAGAGAGAACGCGTTGGAGGGGACCACAGAGAACAAGTGGACGATAAAGAACGCTAGATAACAGTAGCGAGTTATAAAGAACAATAGATAAGATTATATTAAGCTGGCTCCGTGGACTAGTGCCTTCGCAGTCCGGGTTTCTAACTCGGCCCAAGAGCTTGATCAACCAATCTCTTAGACGCCGCGGCATGCAGTCTGACGTAGGTACCCCTTTTCAAAGCTGTTTCCCCCTTCAAAAAGGCGGGAAACACACACCCCCACCTGAATTGACTAGCCAATCGCGCCTCCTGATTGGGAAAGTGTTGAACAATCTTTGGGCCCTTAATGTTCATCAGAGTTCACCCTCACTGCTGTTCACACTAGGGGGGGGGAGGGGTGTTCTGCACTTCCTGCCATGTCTCCTGGTCTCGTGAGGCGTTTTTTTCAATATATAGATTTAGAACCAGCTCCTCTAATCCTTTAAAACGCTTCAGAAATTAAAAAAAAAAGCTAGTGAGCTATCACTAGAAACCCGTAAGGCAGGTTTGGGAACCGTCAGGAAGGCTAGAGAACAGTAAAGACCAGAGAACCACCAGAGAAACAGTAAACACCAGAGAACCGTAAAGAACACTAAAGAATGGGCAAGAACACTATAGAGAACACAGCAAGTCTAATTTGACTCTGACTTTGGGATAATTTAGAACCGGTCTTTTTGAATACTAAACCCGATTAAAGAGTTTAGTTTTAATCCGATCATAACACAACAGCAACGGGAAGACTCATGTTTTAATTAACAGGAAAACAACGGGTAGGGAGGGCCTAATTAACAGGAAAACAACGGGTAGTTGAGGCCATAATTAACAGGGAAACAACGGGTAGTTGAGGCCATAATTAACAGGAAAACAACGGGTAGTGAGGGCCTAATTAACAGGGAAACGACGGGTAGTGAGGGCTACAATTAACAGGAAAACAACGGGTAGTTGAGCCCACAATTAACAGGAAAACAACGGGTAGGGAGGGCATAATTAACAGAAAAACAACGGATAGTTGAGGGCCACAATTAACAGGAAAACAACGGGTAGTGAGGCAACAATTAACAGGGAAACAATGGGTAGTTGAGGGCCTAATTAACAGGGAAACAACGGGTAGTGAGGGGCCATAATTAACGGAGATTAACAGAACACAAACGGCACCTACACAACAGGAAACGCCTTACAGTCCTTTCAAGAGCGAAACGCGTTCTTTCACAAACGGAATACCGTTGAATTCAACAGTCCCGGTCAACGACAGACAACAGCAATTACAGCAAACACACACAAACAAACAAACAAACAAGCAAACAAGGCACTGACACATAAACAAAAAAAACAAAAGTGGAAAATCTGGTTTAGATCGAGGTGTCAAGTCCAGATTTTAGGGAAAATTATTAAAATAAATTATACAAACGACACGAAATGTATAAATACATCTTTATACAACCTGGGAACCCAGATACAATACATCAAAGAGGGAGGGATGTAAGAGAAAAGTGGGTAGACAGGAAAAGAAGGAGGAAAGAGATGTAAGGTAGAGTAGGGTAAGGATAAAAGGCTAGAGGGAGGTATACCCCAAGTATACTCATATATAGTATACCCGAACCCGCTGTGTATATGAACCAATGAGATGTGATCAGAGAGGCTTCCAGGGTTAACATTGGCTCTTGTCGCGTTGGGAATCAACCAATCAAATGTCAAGGTTGCTAGGCTAGGGTCAGTGGTGGTGGTGATAGTGGTGGTGGTGGTGATGGTGGTAGTAGTGGTGATAGTGTCACACTGGACGGTATTAGCGAAGGGTTACGGGGCTATTCATGCCCGTGCCACCTCTTGGGGGGTGGCTTAATCTTCATCAATCAATCAATCTTAAGAACTTGGGTTACACAGAGAGGAGTGTCGGACACGCTCGCAGCTTCTGGTCCGCCTCTCTCTCTATACCATACAGCAACAGGCCTCAGGGGTAAATTTAAATCATAAAAAATCATAAAAATCCTCCCCCTCCCCACGCACGCAAGTACACACGCGACACGCCAACAAGCACGCACGCAAACACACACACACACGCACGAAATATATTCGTAAACGAACCACGAAACATTCCAACGCTAATTATATGTGTATAATTGTCTCAAACTTTTTCTATCTTTTAAACTTAAGCACGCACTGAGGACGGGAACTTGCAAGCACGCGCAGGAAAGTCAAGCGTGCACGCGCGTGCACACACACACTCCCAAACACTGAGGTGACGGCAGAGGAAGTCAAGAAACAACCAGCATCACTGGATGAAGCCAAAGCAGTTGGAGCAGACAAGGTATCCCCGTAGATACTGGTAGAGACAACGCGGGCCCTCAGCGGACCTCTGGCAAAAATCTTTACACACAAAAGGAGAGTTATCCAGCTGCTGGAAGAATGCAAATGCAATGCCAATTTTCAACAAAGGAGATAGAAACGAGGCACTTAACTACAAACCCGTATCATTAACAAGCATCCCAGTGTACCTGAATGACTAATCAGGTTAAGACTAGCTACACATTTAGGAATTACGTATGTAAACAAACATCAACATAGCTTTATGTAAGGAAAATCATGCCTAACAAACCTTTTGGAATTCTCTGATAAAATAACAAGAATAAGGCAGGACAGAGAAGGCTGGGCAGACTGAATATTTCAGGACTGCCAAAAAACCTTTGATACAGTACCGCACATGAGACTGCTGTTCAAGCTCGAGAGGCAGGCGGGGGTGGGGGGAAAGGTCCTAGCATGGGTAAGGAACTACCTAACAAGAAGGAACCAGAGAGTAACGGTAAGGGGCGAGAAGTCGGACTGGCGAACAGTAACGAGTACCTCAAGGATCAGTACTGTGACCAGTTCTATTTCTAAAATATATAAATGCCATGTCTACAGGAGTAGGGTCCTAAATGTCGATGCGTCAATGTTTGCTGATTGATGTAAAAATTATGTGGAGGATTGAAACAGAGGATGATAGTAGGAGGCTACAGGACGACCTAGACAGACTGAGTGAATGGTTCAACAAAAGCGGCTAAAGTTTAACCCGAGTAAATGCAAAGTAATGAAACTAGGCAGTGGAAACAGGAGGCCAGACACAGGATACAGAATAGGAGATGAAGTACTTAATGAAACGGATAGGGAGAAAGATCTAGGAGTTGATATCACACCAAACCTGTCTCCTGAAGCCCACATAAAAAGAATTACGTCTGCGGCATATGCGAGGCTGGCTAACATCAGAATAGCGTTCAGGAACCTGTGTAAGGAATCATTCAGAATCTTGTATACCACATATGTAAGACCAATCCTGGAGTATGCGGCCCCAGCATGGAGCCCGTACCTTGTCAAGCACAAGACGAAGCTGGAAAAAGTTCAGAGGTATGCCACAAGGCTATTCCCAGAATTAAGAGGCATGAGTTACGAGGAAAGGCTGCGGGAAATGCACCTTACGACACCGGAGGACAGAGAGTAAGGGGAGACATGATCACTACCTACAAAATCCTCAGGGGAATTGACAGGGTTATCTTGAGGTTATCTTGAGATGATTTCGGGGGCTTTTTTTTAGTGCCCCCGCTACCCGGTCCTCGACCAGGCCTCCACCCCCAGGAAGCAGCCCGTGACAGCTGACTAACACCCAGGTACCTATTTTACTGCTAGGTAACAGGGGCATAGGGTGAAAGAAACTCTGCCCATTGTTTCTCGCCGGCGCCTGGGATCGAACCCAGGACCACAGGATCACAAGTACAGCGTGCTGTCCGCTCGGCCGACCGGCTCCCTATTAGACAAGGGAGGGTAAACAAGGATAAACTATTCAACACTGGAGGGACGCGAACAAGGGGACACAGGTGGAAACTGAGTACCCAAATGAGCCACAGGGACGTTAGAAAGAACTTTTACAGTGTCAGAGTAGTTAACAGGTGGAATGCATTAGGCAGTGATGTGGTGGAGGCTGACTCCATACACAGTTTCAAATGTAGATATGATAGAGCCCAGTAGGCTCAGGAATCTGTACACCAGTTGATTGACGGTTGAGTGGCGGGACCAAAGAGTCAAAGCTCAACTCCGCAAGCACAATTAGGTGAGTACAACTAGGTGAGTACGCACGGATACAGATACGCTCTGTCGACTCCTGTAACCTCTCTCAGCGGGCAAGCAGGTTAGCAAGCAGGCTAGCAAGCAGACTGGCAAGCAGGCTAGCAAGCAGACTAGCAAGCAGGGTAGCAAGCAGACTAGCAAGCAGGCTATCAAGCAGGGTAGCAAGCAGGCTAGCAAGCAGACTAGCAAGCAGACTAGCAAGCAGGTTAGCAAGCAGACTAGCAAGCAGGCTAGCAAGCAGACTAGCAAGCAGGTTAGCAAGCAGACTAGCAAGCAGACTAGCAAGCAGACTATCAAGCAGACTAGCAAGCAGACTAGCAAGCAGGCTGACAGGAAGACACGCACGCATGCACGCACGCACGCACGACGGACAAGCACAAATTTCGCAAGTCACGAAAGAGAAATTTTTCCTTCGGGTTAGAGTGACAGGTGAGGTGGTGTGGCCCTCCCTGAGTGTGGCCCTCCCTGGGTGTGGCCCTCCCTGGGTGTGGCCCTCCCTGGGTGTGGCCCTCCCTGGGTGTGGCTCTCCCTGGGTGTGGCCCTCCCTGGGTGTGGCCCTCCCTGAGTGTGGCCCTCCCTGAGTGTGGCCCTCCCTGAGTGTGGCCCTCCATGAGTGTGGCCCTCCCTGGGTGTGGCCCTCCCTGGGTGTGGCCCTCCCTGGGTGTGGCCCTCCCTGGGTGTGGCTCTCCCTGGGTGTGGCCCTCCCTGGGTGTGGTCCTCCCTGAGTGTGTGCCCTCCCTGAGTGTGGCCCTCCTGAGTGTGGCCCTCCCTGAGTGTGGCCCTCCATGAGTGTGGCCCTCCCTGGGTGTGGCCCTCCCTGGGTGTGACCCTCCTGAGTGTGGCCCTCCCTGAGTGTGGCCCTCCATGAGTGTGGCCCTCCCGGGTGTGGTGTGTGGCCCTCCTGGGTGTGGCCCTGAGTGTGGCCCTCCCTGGGTGTGGCCCTCCCTGAGTGTGGCTCTCCCTGGGTGTGGCCCTCCCTGGTTGTGGCCCTCCCTGAGTGTGGCCCTCCCTGAGTGTGGCCCTCCTGAGTGTGGCCCTCCATGAGTGTGGCCCTCCTGGGTGTGGCCCTCCCTGAGTGTGGCCCTCCCTGAGTGTGGCCCTCCCTGAGTGTGGCCCTCCCTGTTGGCCCTCCCTGGGTGTGCCCTCCCTGGGTGTGGCCCTCCCTGAGTGTGGCCCTCCCTGAGTGTGGGGTGTGGCCCTCCCTGAGTGTGGCCCTCCCTGAGTGTGGCCCTCCCTGAGTGTGGCCCTCCCTGGGTGTGGCCCTCCCTGGGTGTGGCCCTCCCTGAGTGTGGCCCTCCCTGGGTGTGGCCCTCCCTGAGTGTGGCCCTCCCTGGGTGTGGCCCTCCCTGGGTGTGGCCCTCCCTGGGTGTGGCCCTCCCTGAGTGTGGCCCTCCCTGGGTTTGGCCCTCCCCTGAGTGTGGCCCTCCCTGGTGTGGCCCCTCCCTGGGTGTGGCCCTCC